GATCAGGAGAGTGCCCTTGCTACAACTCTCGAAGCTCCTGGGGAAGATGATATCTTGCATGGGCATCATCCCATGGGCAAGGCTACACTCGAGGGAGTTGCAGTGGTTCCTCCTACCCTACCAGAGGAGGAACCTCAGCACCTCCAACAGGAGTGTGCTGGTACCAGCACAGGTGATGAAATCACTAAAATGGTGGCTATCCCCCACGACACTCAAGGGGAGCATATTCAGGGAACCGAACAGGGTCACACTCACGACAGACGCGAGCCTGTTCGGATGGGGAGCCCACCTGGGAACACAGATAGCACAGGGCCAGTGGGGACAGAAGGACCTGTCACACAGCATCAACTGGCTAGAGCTCCGGGCCATACACCTGGCCCTCCGCCATTTCTCACACCTAGTAACGAGGAGGCACGTCCTCGTACTAACAGACAACGTAGCAGCCAAGGCACATGTAAACAAGGAGGGAGGAACGAGATCAGTGGAACTAATGAAAGAAGCATTGGCTCTGGCTCGGTGGGCAGAAGCCAATGTGAGTTCCATCAGAGCGGAACACATCTCAGGGGAGACAAACACCCAGGCAGACTCCCTGAGCAGAGCCAAGGTGGACCAGTCGGAATGGCGTCTGGACCCGGCTCTCTTCGAGGAGATCTCCCGGAGGTTCGGACAACCGCACCTAGATCTATTTGCCAACCACAAGAACACACAACTCCCCAGGTTCTTCTCCAGATTCCCGTCCCCGGGATCGGAGGGAACGGATGCTCTCAGGTGCCGGTGGCCGGCGCAACTCCTGTACGCCTTCCCACCGCTGCCACTAATACCGGCAACCATACGCAAGATGATCGTGGAGGGCGCAGAAATGGTCTGCATTGCCCCTCACTGGCCACGGCGCCCGTGGTTTGCCGACCTCGTGGACCTTTCGATATCACCTCCGTGGAGGATTCCCCCGGACAGGGTAAAACTCAGTCAGGGCAAGCTCGTACACCCAGACCCCCAGTGGCTACAACTAGCCGCTTGGCATTTGAGCGGCAAAGCTTAACTAAACAATCTTATTCTGCAGGGGTGATATCGATCATACAGGCATCACGAAGAGCGTCCACTAATAGGATTTACGACGCTACATGGAAGGGATTTTGTAGGTGGTGCGCTTCGCTTCACCTAGACCCGACCGCAGTATCTATCCCCAATATCCTAGATTACCTATTGGAGGGTCTTAATAAGGGCCTGTCAGTCAATACTATCCGCAGACAGATATCGGCCCTCTCAACTGTACTCTCCTGCGACAACTTAACTTCCCTAGCACAACATCCAGCGATTAATGCCTTTTTAAAAGGGGCATCTAACACAAAGCCCCCAGTCATACACAGGTACCCGTCCTGGAACCTGCCTAAGGTCCTTCTAGCCTTGACATCAGCACCCTTCGAACCTCTTGAAACATGCTCACTCCATCACCTATCACTGAAGGTAGCTTTCCTTGTGGCAATTACTTCAGCAAGAAGAATCTCAGAACTAGCAGCACTGTCAGTAAGGAAGGATCTGTGTACCTTTTTCAAAGACAGGGTCGTTCTTAGACCAGACCCGACCTTCATCCCGAAGGTAAATAGCATCTTTCACAGATCTCAGGAACTTACGCTTCCTGATTTCTGTCCAAGACCCAAACATAGGCTAGAACACAGATGGCACAAGCTAGACGTACGGAGAGCACTGTGTTTCTACGTGAAACGCACCTCGGCTTTCCGAAAGACTGAAGCATTATTTGTGTCCTTTCAACCATCAACTATGGGAAAGAAGGTATCTTCTTCCACCATAGGCAGGTGGATCAGAGCCTGCATAGCGCAGACCTATGTCTCACAGGATTTGCCAGCACCCACTCAGGTGACTGCCCACTCAACTCGGAGCGCAGCCACATCTGCGGCGTGGCTAACGCAAGCTCCGGTGGAAGAGATTTGCAGGGTCGCAACCTGGTCCTCACCTTCGGTTTTCATTCGACATTACCGTTTAGACTCCCTAGCAGCAGCAGACGCGGCCTTTGGCAGAAGAGTTCTTCGTATCTGCTCAGAGTTCGGTAGCCTAGACATTCCCTCCCAGGGGGACATGAGGGCTTTGGTATATCCCATCCATTTGGACTCTACAGTCATCCTGCTGGAGAAGGGGCGTTGTCTTACCTGAACGCCTTTTCTCAGCAGGATGATGTAGAGTCCAAGCCCACCCAGAGGATAGGTCTAGGCAGGGATATAATAAAGATATAATAAAGAGCTGCAATGTTAATTCCAACAAAGTTTCTCGCCTAAGTCAAAACTGGGGTCACGCCCAAAGGAAGGGGTGTGGCCGAAGTTTTTACCCAGTCTGCCAGGCAGGAAGGCCGTCATAGAACCCATCCATTTGGACTCTACATCATCCTGCTGAGAAAAGGCGTTCAGGTAAGACAACGCCCCTTCTCCTGCATGATGACTGAAGAATCTACCAATGGGTTATTTCAGTCCTCCTGCCCAATCAGACCAAGTTGTCAAGTTGTCATGCCTCCTCATTATCTGGGACCTCCCAGTTTTCATCTTGGTCTTTCGCCCATTAGGACGTGATATCTTGACTCTCTGTTGTTTGGAGCAGGTAAGACTAGATTTTACAGATTCATTGGTGGATTCTTAAGATTAGGAGAATTAGTAGAGATTATTTTCCTTTCTGGAACTTCTGAACTAGTTTCCCTTTCTTCAGGGTTAGGGGAGGACTCCTCTCCACGACTGGGGGGGAGGGGCGGCTCTTTCCCTTTTCCGAATCCAGCAGTTTGCTGAATCATTACAAGAATTCTTACTAAAAGAAGTGGGGAGAGTTTCCCTTCATGCAGGTTATAGGGGGATTGTTGTTTACCTTCCCAGTAAGCGCGCGTGTGGTTCTTTCGTCTGTTGGCCGCCATTTTGAAGCCTCGTGGCTTCTTCTATGACCGGGCAGGGTCAGGGATCCTTATAGTGGCTGCCATTTTGGATCCGTGGAAGACCTTTTTGACGAAAATTTTGATTTGCTGCAACATCTCTGAGAGGCTTGCTAGAGCGAGTGACAGGGGAAATCCCTTTTGCTGTTTTTTTTGTTTGTTTGTGACTGCCGCTGAAGAGGAGGGAGCCTCGCGGTGCGGCGGTGAGCGTTTTCGTGCCTAACAGCTGTTAGGCACGATTCCCAATTTAGTTCCCTGAATAAGTAGAAAGCCTTGAATTTAGCCCCATTTGATTTTAGCTACTTTGGACTGTATTGGAGGCTCGGCTTAGTCTCCTCTTCCAGTTTCCTTCCCCCCCCTCTCCCTCACAGAACCTAGAACGTCCACCATTTTGAGGACATATTTCCTCTGGGCAACGCCCATTTCACACCCAGGCTAGGATGCCATTTTGTGTGAGTGAAAAAAAGGGGGGCTTGTTTAGCATAGTTCACACAAGTTTCATACATTGACATCATCTGTATTAATTTCATTTTGAGCCTTAGTGTTTCAGAAACTACCTTCCAATTGAAGACATCTGTTATCACAAGAGTGTGGATTCAGCAGCGGCACCAGTCCTTCAGGCCTGATCGCCATATTGCCTGTCTGCCCTTCTGCATCTAGTGGCTGTTTCAGGATCCTGACCATCGCCACTATTGTGGGACACGTGTGATTTCACCACCAACCATTGCAGAGTGACGGGCACTTCTACGCCAATTGTGAGTTTAGGTTAGCCAGTGGGCCGACTCACGACAATCCATGTGAAGTCAGTCCCCCTTCACGGGGGTCTCTGACGTCCCTTGCAGACCGAGTCAGTCCCAAAGTCACCTGTGGGTTGCATCTCGAAGGAAATGGCAGAAAACACTGAGCCACATCCTTTGGACACAGACATCACCCCATTCCAAGCTGAGCTGGCACCAGAGGCACCTTTAGGTAAGGCCAAAACCAAATCTAAGCACAGCAGGAGGGCTGGCACGGCAAGCGACAGACAGGCAGGCAATTCTCCCGGGCCCAGCGGTTTTCTGCTGAAAGGGGTCTTGAACTTTTGAGCCCCACACCACCTGACATGGGAGCGCCTCAACCGTCCACTTCGAGAGCTTGGTCATCTGAGAATGTTCATCAGCAGGTCCCGACTCAGACCTTTGGTCAGGTAGGACCACCTCTGTTTGGAGAGGACCTTAATTTGCCCAGCCCATCGGCAGCACCCACTGCTGTTATCGCACCACCTGCTCCGGGGTTAAGGCCTCCGCTAGAGCAGTCTTTCTCCAGCCAGCTCCGAGAGTGGATATCACAGGCTGTGTTCTAAGCCATGGCGTCAGCGGGTCACCAGCAGATGTCTCCTATTTCGGGGCCGCCTTCTGCACCAACAACCGCCACACGTCCTTCACTGGAGCAGTCAGGTATGGTCTCCCCATCTCATTCTCCTGATTTCGAGTCTAATGTTTCAGATTATGAGGGAGGTAAGGACGATTGGTCGGATTGCGAGGAACCCACTTATGAATATCAGCCTATGTCAGAGCTGTTCAATGCTTCACTTTTTCCTGCCTTGCTGCACAGAGCCTGTGAAGCGAGTAAGCTTTCCTCCCACCAGGTCCTAAACCCTCAACCTTTCTCTGATCAGGAAACTAATCGCCTGTTTGCTGAACCAATAGACAAACACCTCCAAATTCCCTGTCCCCCGTTATTCCTCAAAAATATTCAGGCACAGTGGGAGTCACCTGCTGCTCAGCCGACTCAAGGTGCGACTGAGCGCAAAATAGTAGACATGACAAAGACTTTAGTAGACCTCTTAGAGCAGTGGTTCTCAACCTGTGGGTCGGGACCCCATTTGGGGTCGAACGACCATTTCACGGGGGTCGCCAAACAATGCAGTCCGCCATTTTTTCCCCTTTTCCTTAGATGTGCTACTCCCTTTTATTCTATTGGCTTTTGAAAGCCAATAGAATAGACTCTCTTGAATAGAGTCTAATTCTATTGGCTTTCAAAAGCCAATAGGAATTGTCCAGGCTGTCTCTGCCCTGCTGAGCCCACCAAAAGTCCCATTCTGCAAATGGTGCTGCACCAGTTGAGTAGTCCTCGACTTATGATCGGCTGAGTAGTCCTCGACTTACGACCGGTTGGGGTCGCAGCATTAAAAAGATTGAGAACCACTATCTTAGAGGTTCCAAAGGTAGATGAATCTCTGGCCCCACTATTTTCGACTGCCAGTCTCCCGGCAGATGTATTGGACGCCCTTAAGGCAGAAGATAAAAAATCCGAAATGGCCTTGTGCAAGGCACATTTGGCATCTGCCTGGGCAACTAAGGCAGCAACAGCCACTTCCTTCTTTGCAAGGATCTCTATTACCTGGCTTCGTCAGTTACAGAAGAGAATTCCGCTGGAAGAAACCAGGATCCATCAGGATTTGACCAAATTATTAGCCACATCCGAGTATATGGCGGATGTCTCCCTGTATTCGGCCAAACATTCAGCCCGAGCAATGGCTTCCAGCGTAGTCGCTAGTAGGCTTCTGTGGCTAAAAAACTGGAGAGCCGAAAGCAAATATAAGTGGCACACGGCCACAGCCCCCTTCACGGGTAGCAGATTATTTGGGGAGGCCCTAACCCCATATCTCATTGAGAACAAACAGAAACAAAAAGTCAATTCTCATGTAGCAAGGAGAACTACCAGATGGTTCCTCCCTTACAATCGCCGACAGTCCTTTAGGATTGGGGCTGCAACAGTCTGCGCAACCATACCGGCCACCAGCTCCTAAGCCTGAGGGCTCATTCGATAGGGCAGGTTATAGGGACAGAACCAGGTACCAGCCACAAACTAAACATTCCTTTTGTGGCAGAGGGGGTCGCCCCTTCCGTCGCGGAAAATGACTCAGAGGCAACCTTTCCCATTGGCGGCAGACTCACTCTCTTCATACGCCAATGGGAAAACACAACCACAGACTCCTGGGTTCTGCGCACTATCAAAGAAGGCCTGTCCCTGGAGTTCAAATCCATGCCATTAGATCACTTCATGTCTTGCCCAGCCATGAGAAACCCTGTAAAAAGGGGGCTCATGGAAGACACTATCCAACACCTACTCACCATCAAGGCAATAGAGGAGGTTCCCCCGAATCAGGCGGGGCTGGGATATTACTCCATCCTGTTTGTAGTCCCAAAATCCTCTGGAGGATGGAGGGCAATTCTCGATCTCAAGGGACTGAACCTCCACCTTCAATACAAGAGGTTCAAAATGCAAATGTCACATTCCATTTTAACCAGCATCAGGCGGGGAGATCTACTGACCTCAATAGATCTAAAGGAGGCGTACCTACACATTCCTATCCTCCCGGATCATTGCAGGTACCTGTGATTCTGTTACCTCAACCGACACTTTCAATACAAAGCCCTTCCGCCTCTCCTCAGCCCCCAGGATTTTACCAAAATCCTAGCAATGTTGGCAGCTCACTTAAGGCTGGTCCCAGTACGGGTCCAGTGTTATCTGGATGACATCCTGATCCAGTCCCTGTCAGTGTCAGCCGCCCAGTCGGATTTGGCCTTCACCATAAGGACCCTGCAGAACCACGGCTCCCTAATAAATTTCAAAAAGAGCCAGATGACTCCCTCTACCTGCCTGCTTCATCTGGGAGCGGTGATAGACATGGACTCGTGCCTCGTGTACTTGTCAAGAGAGGCGCAGGAGCATCAGAGACCTGGCACGCAGGGTGAGCAGAGACAGGACTGTGTCATTGGCTATGCTTTCTCAACTCCTGGCCAAGCTAATAGTGCCATGGGCTCGGCTACATGCCCGGGACCTGCAGTGTTTCCTGCTTCCGTATCAGAGACAGCATACCAGTACATCCAATCGGTTGGTCAGGGTTCCTCATCAGGTACGTCTCTCACTCGGCTGGTGGACTTCATCAGCTATTCACAAGGGGACCCTGTTCAAGGAGCCCAGTCGAGTTCAGGTGACCACAGACGCAAGTCTCTGGTTGGGGGGCACATCTCCAATCCCAGATAGCTCAGGGTCATTGGTCACAAACAGACCTCAAACACAGTATAAACTGGTTAGAGCTCAGGGCAATAGATCTAGATCTCCAAAAATTTCACACTGTAGTCAGGGGCCAGCATGTACTGGTCCGAACAGACAATGTGGCTGCAAAAGCTCATGTAAATCGGCAAGGGGGCACCCGGTCCAAATCCCTCATGACGGAGGCTGGAGCATTGAGCTCATGGGCAGAGAAACATCTGCTCTTCATCAGGGCTGAGCATATCTCGGGAGAGGCAAATCGACAGGCAGACTTTCTCAGCAAGTCAATAGTGGGTCATTCGGAGTGGATGTTACATCCAGATATCTTCAGGGAGATATCGGACCAATTTGGTCGTCCGATCGTGGACCTGTTTGCCTCCCCGGGGAATGCTCAGCTGCCCAGATTCTTTTCTCGGTTCCCCTCCCGGGGAGCAGAGGGGACGGATGTGCTGTGCAGCAGGTGGCCACAAGGTCTGTTGTATGCCCATTGCCTCTGCTTCCAGCAGTAATCAGGAAAATACTGGAGGAGCAGGCGGAAGTGGTCTTCATCGCTCCTTACTGGCCCATGAGACCATGGTTCGCGGATCTGGTGAGTCTTTCATACTCAGCCCCGTGGAGGATTCTCGACAACCAAAAACGGCTGACACGGGGATCTCCAACATCCAGACCCCCAATGGCTTCAATTGACTGCCTGGCACTTGAACACCTCACCCTGACTAGGGAGTCTTATTCAGCGGAGATGATCGCTATGATCCAGGCGGCCAGGAGACTGGCAACGAACCGCATTTATGACCATACGTGGAAGACTTTCTGTCACTGGTGCAACAAGAATCACGTAAGTCTATCACAGGTGACTATTCCCAGGGTACTGGAATATTTAATGGAGGGCGTCAACTAAAGGCTGGCACCCAACACTATACGCAGACAGTTAGCCGCACTTTCCTCGGTACTCTCATGGGATTCCTCAGAGTCTTTATCAAGGCATCCTACCATCTGGGCCTTCCTTAAGGGAGTCACGAATAATAGACCACCTGTGATTCATAGGTACCCATCCTGGGACTTACCTCGAGTTCTTCAGGCACTAACCTCATATCCCTTTGAACCACTCAAAACGTGCTCGTTGCGATACTTGTCACTCAAGGTCTCCTTCCTGATTGCTATTACCTCGGCTAGGCGCATTTCAGAATTAGCTGCCTTGTCAGTTAGGGAGGATCTGTGCACGTTTCATGAGGACAGGGTGGTTCTCAGGCTAGACCCTTCATTCATCCCAAAGGTTAATACGATTTTCCATAGAGCATAGGAGGTCATCCTTCCTAATTTCTGCCCTCACCCGTCACATGAATTGGAACGGCGTTGGCACACTCTGGATGTACTGAGAGCCTTACGATGTTATATCAAGCACACGGCACCTTTCCGTAAGTCTGAAGCCCTGTTTGTATCTTTTCAGCCTTCTTCAATGGGTCAAAAGGTGTCAGCTTCCACCATAGGTAGGTGGATCAGGGCCTGTATTGCAAGCACCTACGTCTCACTTGCTTTGCCTGTTCCTCCTCATGTGACAGCTCACTCCACCCGCAGTGCTGCCACAACTGCAATGTGGGCAACCCAGGCATCCATTGAGGACATTTGTAGGGCGGCGACATGGTCTTCGCCATCACCTTTCATTAGACATTACTGTTCGGACAAATTTGCGTCGGCTGAGGCCGCTTTTGGTAGGCGTATTTTACAACAAGTAGTCACACCACTTGGGGGTCTGGCCCCAACTGACTCCCACCCTTAGGGACTCTGGATGCTTTGGTATGTCCCATTGGTGGATTCTTCAGTCATCATGCTGGAGAAGGAGCGTTGGCTTACCTGAACACCTGTTCTCAGCATGATGATGAAGAATCCACACCCTCCCCTATTAGATGTCAGTCAGGTCGGGTAGGATACTTGTTATGTTAGTTTCTTTTAATACCTGCTTGAGAGTCATCACGTCGAACTGTTGTCATTGGCTACACCGTCAATGAAAACTGGGAGGTCCCAGATAATGAGGAGGCATGACAACTTGACAACTTGGTCTGATTGGGCAGGAGGACTGAAATAACCCATTGGTGGATTCTTCATCATCATGCTGAGAACAGGCGTTCAGGTAAGCCAGCGCTCCTTTTGTGCTAAAGCCTCTGATAAAATGTTTGTAATATTGGAATCCATTTGATTTTTATCTTCAAGGTTATTGCTGTGGTTATGGACACCTTCACAGATATGGACATCTTCACTGACCTTCAGGAAGCTTGTAAGAAGAGGCTGGTTCCTGTGTATATACTTCTGGATCAGAATTTTCTCTGCCATTTCTTAGAAATGTGCAAAAACTTGGAATTCTACCCTGAACAGGAAAATGTATGTTATGGGACATTTTTATCTTTATGGATACTTACACAGATCATAAATTATTTGAACACTGTTGAAAAAGAGGAGAAAGTAATAAACTAGCTTTAGTAATAATGTTGTTAATAACTAAGTCATTTGATTTTATAAGTGGTATTAACTTCAGGAAGAGGTAGTGAAATGTCTGCCTTTCAAAATGACTTTAGATGATAAAATTTTATCTATACTGACAAAATAGTTTTACAAGTTATCTTACAATCTCTACCACAGAGAGTGTCAATGATGCATCCACAGCTGTAGAAAATAAACAAGTACTTAGATTATCAGTTAGAGCATATCCTATAATCTTCAGTGGTTTGCAGAATTAGTTTAGTATATATCCATTTGATAGCTTAAGGAGGATTAAGATTATCTATCTGTTATCTTTTTTGCCAATTTACATTTAGTATATATGTATATGTATATGTATTTTGCCACATTTACCAGCCTAAATTCTTTCGGCTGGTAAATAACTTCTGCTAGGCTTACTGCCCTATACAATTCTCTTATATAGATACGATATAGCCATTGTAACCTAAGTGGTCTTTCACAGTTGCTGAGTTAGTTTAGTTTCTTGAATACTTTGAGATCCATTACTAAAAAATTAAGGTTCTAGTTTTTCTGTTGCATGCACTTTAAAACCCCATTAAATGGAATATGAACAAAAGATCAACTGATTTTAAGACTTCAAGTACCTAGGCATCCACTTCTAACGCTTCAGTCACTTGAATGGACTTTGTATTAGAGCTCAAAAAGTTTCCAACAGTCTTAAAGTATGCTAAGTCAATAATTATGCTCCTACAGCAATATAATTGTATAAAGCAAATGTTCTGCTTTATACTTTATAAATGCTCTATTATGTTCTGCATAACCTTGTGTTTATAAAGATGCTCCAACTTTAGAAGCTACTAAGTCTGTTTCTGAATGCCATACTTTACCCTCTTTCAGTATGAAATCACTTTTTCATCTGGAGTTTGGCTACATTTCTTTTGGGGGCTGCCTGAGATATTGCCAACTCAAATTTTGGTTAAATCACTTTACCCTACTGTATAGGTTTTCTTCATCATTAAGGAGGCAAATAATTCTGAGCTGAGTGTCTCCACTCAGCCTAGATAAAGCCTTAATCAAAACTAAATAAAGGATTTGGGATTTAGATTTACAAAATCAAATCATCCATTCCTATGTTGGCACAATTGTAAACTCTCCATTGTCAGTTTCTGGCTGCTTCTGTAACATCCTGCATATTTCATATACAGGTAATCCTTGACTTATGATCTGTCACTAAGTGACTGTTAGAAGTTCTGATGGATCTTCTCAGGAAGTCCTTACGGTGCAAATTTAAAGTTTCTCAACATCTGGGCCCTCGTGCAGTCATATGTCTGCACTTTGGGTAATCAGCAACCAGGCTGCATTTATAGCCATTTGCAGTGCCCCACAGTCGTATCACCCTGTTTTATGACTGTTTTGCTAAAAAACAGCATTTACTTACAGTTTTTGGCAAAATTATGCTCCTTAGCATACCATTGGTTCACTTAACAACCACATCATTCATTAAACAAATGTGACAAAAATAATCTAAAATCAGGTTGTGGTGAGCAGGCACCATTTCGGTCATAACTCGAAGACTATCTGTAGTAATGTATGTGTGTTTTTTTTAATTTGATTTCAATTGAAGCACTTATTAAAACTATAGAAAAATATATTAGTCTCCCATACAGCAATTGTATGTGTGACTATTCAGATTCAGATGTTGAGTTAGTAATTCATGTATTGTTAACTTTACATTTACCACTTATGGCATGTGGCATTAATAAACCTGGTTTTCAGAAAGTCTCTTTGATCAAAAAATTCTAGTTTTCTGGAAGATTTAACTTGGATTGCCATGTTTTTAGGAATAGGAATAGGAATATGGGTTGCAGAAGCTAGTTGATATCATGTTATCAACAAATATTTCAGGCTTATATTTTTCTTTTCCTGTATTCTTAATTTTGTATTTTTATTTTGTTGAGCTAGAACAATAAATAAAGGATTTGATTCGATTTCTGCCATTCTTATTTTTTTCCAGTAGTATCCCCCGCAGCAGATTTCTTGACATTTCTTAATACTGTGGCTTCTGTGCCTATTACTAATAAGAATACTGATTTCCTGGTTTCATAGTGCACAGAAGCTCTAATGGAGAAATCTGCAGTTGAAGATAAGGATAGCATTGTGTTGTATAGTCATAAATTTTTGTTTCTGCACTGTCAAGTCCATTTTATCCCTTTGCCATATCAAAGGAATTGAATGGATGAGGCACAGTTCCATCCTTTTAACTGACAGCAGAAAGAAATGTTAAATCACATAGAAGAAAAACAATAACTAAGATTAATTTTGGACAGATTTAATTTTGGAACAAAGAAATGCATGGAACTGATAAGCATTCAGTAGATAAACACGTTGCCCATATAATAATTCCTTGTTTTCATGGACGATGTGAAAGTTGACTTGACACTGCCCCAAACATTTATATTTCACTATATTGTATTTCTGCATTGCCATAATAGCTTTTTGTATGTAGGTGGTTAAAAACATTGCCTTGGTAATTTTGTCTAAAATTTGTGTCATTTTGAAAACAGTTAATGAGAGTCCGAACTATTATTGGAAACACATATTATGCAAGATCAGGAGCCAAGATAATTGGGAGTGTCCATGAGAAGTTCATGCTTATTGATGGTGTAAGAGTGACTACAGGCACCTACAGGTAAAGTATCTGTTATAAATTACGACAAAACTAGCTCTGTTGGAAATAGGCCATGGCTTCAATAGGTGGACAAGCTTTCTCCAGCTGAGTAACCCAGTTGACTTGACATAATTTTCCATAATCCACCAGTATTATTTAGTGCTAATTATCTAGTAATGCAGAAGGGCATCCACACAGGGAAAGCTAATCATCTCTTAGTAGATCCAAGAATGAATATATGTTAATGTTTGTGTATGGAATTTGGTGTGAAAAGCAAGGCTGTGTTCCTTTAAAACATTGTTTTATATACATTTTTATATTAGAATGAAGGGTGGTTCCTTTTTGGGCTTTAGTTTTCATATTTAAAGTGGGTTGCCATCAAATTTCAGCAAGTTGTCTCTTCTGTTTATAAATAAAATGTAGTGGATTAATCTTTCTCTGTAAGACTGTTAATTAATTTTTCTCTCAGAATGCCTTCCCACTTTTAAAAATTATGGAGACCCCCAAAAAGGCTTTTGTTTGAACGAGTTTTATTCATCAATCTTTATTATATTAAAAATTAAAATTGATGTACTCGCTGTCATTTCTCATCACTGAAGGGACTTTAATATTGTATTTTTTTTCAACAAAGGCCGAGAAATTTTGATTTTGTGGACCCTTGAGAGGGTTTTGAAGAACGCCCAGGAGTCTTAGGACCAGATTTTAAGGAACACTACTGTAAGATGATCCAACAAGCTTCAGCTTTTAAGGATCTAAGATTGCTTTTAAAATATGGAGAAAATGGGGACAAGCATACATATATTTGGACTGGAATCCTTATTGCAAGAAATGATATTGAAAAAGAAAAATGCACTTTCATACAGGCTTTTCTCCTTTCCTTTATAAACTTTGTTATTGGAAGACTGAGTTTCATCAAGTTAATAATATCATTAACTTGGAGTAGGTCTAATGAGGTCTGCCTGAACTGCCATAAGCTTATATTTATATGTAACCCGTGGGCTAGAGTTTATTCTTTACTATTATACTTTTAGTCATGGAGGATTCTAGTCCCAGTGGAGTTCTATACTATTAGTGCAGTGCTGACTAACATCCTTAATAAAAATCATAGGGCATTTATTAAAAAATCCAAAATAGCTTTTTATTCATTTGTAAAGAATCTTGTTTATAAACACTTCAAATCCTATGATAGGTGTAGTTTGGTTGTTCATTTATTCAGTTAGGACTAGGAAGGCAGAGATTCAAATTTACCTATGGAATGACTTTGAGCAGGTGTTATTCTATCAGCTTAATCTATTGCAGACATTTAGCTGACTGTGTTCAACAGGTCAGCGGTTCAAATCTCACCGGCTCAAGGTTGGCTCAGCCTTCCATCCTTCCGGGGTAGGTAAAATGAGGACCCAGATTGCTGGGGGCAATGTAAATATATATATACATTGCTTACTGGTGTACACCGCTTAGAGAGTGCTTGCACTTAAAGCGGTATATAAGTCTCATAAATAAATAAATATCTAACATATCTTTGTGTCCTTTTTCCCTAGATTATAATCTCTTGCTCAAAATATATCATTAAGCACTTTAAAATGCATAATTAAATCATTCTTCTTCTTCTTCTAGTGTAAGCTTATCCTAATAGCCATCTGACAGCTAATAGTCATTTGACTTAATAAGCAGCAATGATTAAAATTCTTGATTTTCCCCGTTACATAGTTAATTATTTTCCATACAGTATATTGAGATGAAAATACAAGATATAATATAATATTTTGTCTTATACTCCTAAGTGTAGCTAGTCTTTGTTTTTACCAATTATATATAAATTGGTGAAGGCTGGATGGAAAACTATCAACAGCAATTAAATGTTACAGTAGGGTAATTCTGTTGTTTGGTATAAGTAGAATGCTTCCCCTCAATAAATTTGTTTTGGAGCCATGATCGTTAGATGTACCTCCATGAATTAGTATCTCAGCCTCAATCTGATAAATGGGGATAACTGTCTATTTTAAAGGGAAGAGATAATTTAATTAATTCATACTATAAATGTATCATAATATTTTCTTTTTCCATCTTTCTAGCTTCACTTGGACTGATGGGAAGCTGAACAGCAGTAATTTATTGCTACTCTCAGGCCAAATAGTGGAACATTTTGATTTGGAGTTCCGAATCCTTTATGCGCAATCTAAGCCTCTTAATTCAAAGCTGCCTCAAAGCTGCAGGACTAATATTTGCCATGAGCATCTAGTCAATAAACTAACACCATGCAAAGATTTCACTGTGGGTAACCTTCTGAGAGCTGAATTTGCTAGGCTCTCAAGCTCCCCCAAGAAACTTGAAAGAGAAATAGAACAGGTGAAAGAGCTCCAAGGGGGGCGAATGAGTGCTAAACGGCCACACCTTTGTGGTGAAGAGCAATGGCATAGTGGTTCTGAAATCCTAACAAAACCTAAGGAGACAAACAGCCAGTCCACTCAGACTGAAACTTTAGACGAGAAGCGAGCAACAACATTCATAAATTGTGCCACACAAACTACTACTTCTGTGGTTTCAGCTACCACCCAGACCACTACTCGATCTAGAATGGTGGGCACTCAGACGACAGTTGTATACAAAACTTCTATGACACAGACTGACAAAAGAGATAATGTGGAAGTACCCCTGGCTCAGAGAATACCTGATCAGAAGATTCCTGATCAAAGAATGTCCTCTAAAGAAGGGTCTCCTATTTCTAAAAAGTCCACCTCGACTTCTTCTAGTGCACGATCACTTTCTTCATTGTCTTCCCAGTGTTCCCGGGCAAGTTCTACTGGTTCACTAACATCCCTTAGGTCTATTGACTATTCTGTCAATCATCGGGGAGATTATTTCCGCAAACTAAACAAGGAGAGGGAATTTCACTATTCTGTCATTCGATCCAAGCTTAACCATATGGTTTCCATGCTGTCTAGGAGGGGAAATGCGGCTGAAAATTACAGAGGTTGCCATCCATTGAGATGTAACTTAAAACCTAGACAACAGATTAGCACAAGCCTAATAAATCTTAGAGACTTTGCACTGTATACTTCAAGTGACTGCTTCTGAGAAATGCAGAAGGAGGGAGCTGTTATATACATAGTTGTTAGAAGGAGATGCTTCTCTTAAACTGCCCACTTCTGTAGTATTACAAGACTTGAACGAGGCAGGAAAAAAATCCCCTTGTGTGCAGCAGAGCCAATAGGTGGATCTACCTTAAGAGTACAAAAGAAGGCACTCTTATTTTATTCTATAGGATTTGTTTTAGGTACACCTGTTGCCTAACCTTTTGCCAGGCTTTGTACTTCAGCCTGTTTATTTTATGGTACTTTATGAATATTTGGGGAGAAGGGGGATTGAATATTTTTGTCAATGCAATTTCTCTAAAATTTCCAAAATAAATTATCCAAGACTACAATTCAGTCAAGCTAAGCCACCTCTCAAGCCTCATAATAGTTCATCTGCTAAATATGGCCTTGCCTTTAATAAAAGTATGGCAAATTTTCCACATGTCTCTTGCTAATCTCATGCTACAGTTACACATATTGTGTTGATGAACTGAATAAAAAACATTTATTTGCAACCATGGATTTTAGCAAAATAGGTTGAATATGCATTTTGAATATATATATATATATATATATATATATATATATATATATATATATATATATTTAAATAAACTTGTTTCAAAATGTTTGTTAAGACATTTGAGAATCCAAATCTAGTTTCTTGTGATTGTATCTCTCTGATAAGGTTCACAGTTTCAGTCTGAAAGCTTTTGGTAGCCTTTTGTTCATTAATTTATTGAGTTACAAAATTGTATGTTCAGTTTTGGTGTGTTATTGTGCAAACCATAATTAATGGCTTAACATAATGAACAAGGTGATTGTGGATATCAGGAACTCATACTAATACCAAATATGCTATTTTAGGAATCCTAAAAGCTGCAATGCGACAATTATTAAAATAAGCAGTTGGCTCTGATTTCCAGGGGAGCCATGGTGAAATAAAGATGGTTCCAACAGATGGCTATGACCAAAGAACTAGCAAGTAGACCATGGTCTCCCACAAGTCTGAGAGCCAGAAGACAGGGATCAGCCATCATACAACTGTGGCAGAGGCTTTCAAAGAATACTGAGTTCACAAACCTTACTTTTTAATCATGTTTAGAAATTGGTTATTTTTTCTAAGGCTTTACAAAATGACACAAAACACTAACATTAAAAATAAAAGGAGATTTTTGAAGAATGGGGCAAACATTAGTAGCCATAATATCAGAAATGTCAGCAATGATGTTGTATGGATAACTTTGTCCAAAAGATATTAATTATGCGGAAATACTGGAACCAGAAATATTGGATAATAAAATGTGGATTACAAAAGGTAATTAAATTAAAATAATTGGCAAAATGACCCTAATAAGAATTTTTTTTTTTGCTGGATACACAAAATAAACCTAGATAAACTTTTGAAAATCAAGTGGAAATACAAGTAACAAGATAATGACCAAGATACTGCATTCTGGCTTGCTGTGTTCAGCCCCAAGACCTGTGTTTGGAGATTCTGTAACTCACTGCTGCTGCTTCAAAATTCTGGCTTTAATAAAGCTCCCTTCATCCATGACCTGATCATGGATGAGAGGGCCAACCTGGCCTTTATCACCCAAACCCTTCTGGGTTTTTAATGAGCTCCAGCTGCAACTCCAGAATGAGTGTTTTGTTATTTATAGTCTCTAGTAGCCAATAGGGGTCCTAATTCCAACATGTCAGATCCTCTTTTTTAGGTTAGGCCAGGGGTAGGCAACCCAAAACACTCAAAGAGCCACTTGGACACGTTTCCCACCGAAAACAAAACACTGGGAGCCACAAAATCCTTGTGATATCTAAAATGAAGATAACACTGCATATATCCTTTTTTACCTTTAATATATATGTATGTATGTATATGTGTTTGTGTATATATATATAAAATAAAGGTAAAAAAGGATATATGCAGTGTTATCTTCATTTTAGATGTCAAAAGGGACTCTCTGTCTCTTTCTTCTCTTTCTTTCCTTTCTTTTCTTTCTTTCCTCTGTCTCTTTCCTTTTTCCTTTATCTCTTTCCTCTTTCTCTTTCCTCTTCCTTTTCTCTAACTTTCTCTCCTCTCTTTCTTTTCTCTTTCCCTCTTTCCTCTCTCTTCTCTTTCCTCTTTCTCTCTTTCCTCTTTTTCTTCTCTTTCTCTTTCCTCTTTCTTTCTCTCTCTTTCCTCTCTCTTTCTCTTTCCTCTCTCTCTTCCTCCCTCCCTCTCTCTCCAGGTGAGGAGAGAGAGAACAAAAGGCAGACAGCGCTGAACGGGCAGGGAGGGGGAGTAGGATGGGAGGCAGCAGCTCCGGTGGCGGCATGGTGGCGGCCACTGTAGCATCGTAAGGGGTCCTCGCCGCCCCTGCCCTGGCTGCTGCCCCCGCCACATCCTCAGCCACTTTGCCATCGCAAGAGGAGGGCGCCAAGGCCGGGTGGAAATGGAACATCAGAGTATATCTCTTCGATGAAGGTGTATTTCTTTCATTTTTTGAAAATCTGAGAATTGATCTGGAAACAGGAAAAGGTCAACAATCTGCAATAACAGGATGGATCCACCAAACACTACACAGTGGAGTACTCCCACAAGGGTCATGTATTCGTTGTTATTTTCTTTTCCTGGATACTCTGTCCACTCATATTTGTCCGCCTGCTTCGTTTTGCTTCCTCATCACTGACATATTTTCATATTCAGTGAACAGATTCAGTTCTCATTTGACTTTTATGTGCTTTCACACGTTTCCTTTTCTTCTTATGTTTTTCTTTATACTTCTGCCTTGTACTCATTTATAAGAATGATTGTTTTGATTGTATGATTTTTTAAAGAATGCTCTCTTTTGGAATATGACAAGGTTATAACTACAATGTTGAATATTCAGAGGTAATTTAACTTAGAAATGTTTGAAAAAAATTTCAGACCAGTTAAACCAGAAATCCCGTATTCTAGTTGGATTAGAATTGATATTTATGGGTGTATATGCTGAAATTGACTAAGATCTGTTTTTTTTTTTCCTGAAGAGCTCTACTTCAGGTTCTGAGAGAGGAAGCAACATCTATCATCATCATGTGATGATAATCAAAAATCAGATGTTACTGTACATATAGACAAGAAGTTGGTAAATTTCTACATTTCCAAGGAAAGGTGCAGGATCACCGATGGTCTAGCGAACTGATTCCCATAAAGTTGCCATTTGTATGAATTCCCACTTCATGTGTGATTATTTATGGCTATTCTGGTTTCTGTGAAAGTGATGCCATCTTTGGGGGAATTAAGTTATGGGATAAATGGCAACCTTGAGTTACAAAGGCATCTCCAGCAACAGCTTCAAAATTATGGGAAGCATCATGTGGTCTGCCTTTTGCCCAGCACGTTGATGCTTAATCACTGGACTATTATAGAATCAAATATGATGATACATTGTTTTAAATAGTTTGCTTACTACCTTTATCTAATACTGTATATGTTTATATTAGATCAAAACATTCAATCGTATGTTGCTTCCCTTGATCAAACTGCATTTGTATAAAACTGAATATGATGAATCTCTACATCTGGATAGAGAGAAGAGGATGCATATCCCTTAGGCACTAATTAAGCCTTTTTATTGTCTCCACCTACCTATTTATGTTTGTGTACTATATTTAATATGCTGTTTATCTGAAACTATCAAATGGTTTACAAAAGATAAACACAAAATAAGGATAAAATGCCATAGAAGTGATTAAAGATAAAGATACTTTTTTAATCTACAAATATGATCGTAGCTAATAGAAGATATGTTTTAATAACTATTCTTTCCTCCATCACTTTGGATTATTTTCTTAGCATCTGGAAATTTTTATATACATCAGGAACCAGTTTAGTTGGAAAAGCTCATGAAAAATTCATGTGAGTTGATCGTAAAAAAGTGAGCATAGACTTATTAAGGCAAAAAGTTTTCCTAATGAATATTGTTTCCTCTAATTTCAGTTACTGAGGGGGTTATAAATGACTGTGCTTCTCAAAATATTCTCAATCACAGAAATTTACTGGACAAGTTTGAGGTACCGTAGTCACTTTCTGTCTCAAGCCAGCCTATCTCACAGGGTTCTTGTGGGGAAAATAGAATATGGTGCCTTGAATACCTGAATAGAAAGTGGGACAGAAATCCAGTCAATAAACAAATAAATAAAGCCCTCTGTCTTCAGCAGGAACCAACCACTTGAAATAATCATCTCTATGCTACTAACATAATTAATGAAGGATTACTTATCATCAAAAATTGATGGGCATGACATTGAGTACAGAATGCCCTCTGTAAGATTTTGTAGTGGATGTAGCGAGACTGAAATTCTTAGAATTCCCAGCAAGCACGATCCTCTGGCCCAGCTCATCTGGAATATGCCAAATTGAGCAAGGCAGTATAATACCTCTCGATACAGAATATAAATGGACTCTGAAACAAAATTTTGCAATGGGGAATGCTGTTACTAATTACGTCTACTCATTTACCCAATGGACTGTAATATTTTAATGTAAGAAGATCTATGGGGATTTTAAAATGCTAATAATGTTAATGTCACATTATATTCCAAAACTTTGGAATCCAGCTATTTTTGAAAAGGTATGGTTATACTGAACCAGTGATGTCGGTAAAAGAATTAGTTTCAGATATAATTCCGAAATAAGAGCATGTGGAATTGTGGGAGTTGAAATCCACACATCTTAAAAGTTGCCAAGGTTGAAAAACGCTGTTCTCAAAGAAGGTCATGGCAAACCACTTCTGCGTTTCTGCCGAAGCCTTTACCCTCATCTAAAATATCCCAAAGGTTGGCGAAAAACACCCCCTTCCCCAGCTAAAGCTCTGCCCTTGGACTGCAGATTGGAGGAGAGACAGCTGCTTGGCAAATTCGGGGGGGGGGGAATCCATGGTAACCATCAGCCAATCACCAAACTCCTCACGATCACATGATCCTTGCAAACGGGAGAGGGTTCGTTCCTTTCCTTTGACCTTTCACCCCAAGATGGCGGCGCCCGTGGGTCCGTTGAAGTTTTGGAAACCGGGTAAGCCTTGAATTTTTTGTAAGGGACGGGAATACAAATGCCGTGGGAGGGAATAAGAAGTGGAAAGGTGATGCCTGCTTTTGTCTAGTTTTGGTGGAAATGTAATTTCAGTTTGTGAAAGGACACCGGCGGGATAGGTGATTGGGAATGTTACCGATACTCTATTTTGGGGGACGGACGCGCGACTCTTGTGAATCATTAAATAAGTAAAGAAGAAAAAGAAAAAGGTGACCGGTCACAAATGAACAAGGGTAGAAGAAAAGTTATTCTGCACCTGCTCAAATCCTAATATTTAACCTTTGAACATGCCGTTCTTTTGACTTAGAAGCTTGTGAATTCTGAATTAAGAAAATTGTGCTTCTTCACTGACGGTCGTCCTGCTTTTCTTTTTTTCCCCCTTAATGCCATTTAATGCTATGGAGTGGACCTATTTATCTCGTTCAGGTGGTGTTAAATAAATGCATCGGATTGAGATTAAGCTGTTTGATATACAAAAAGAATCC